TTTCCATTCCTGAGTCCTCGTCGCCGGCCCGGCCCCCATGCTCCCTTTTACACACACACACACACACACACAAAGAGAGAGAAAGAGAGAGAGAGAGGGAGAGAGACGCAAAGATACGCAATTAAACATACAGCCAAACCAACAAACGTAACCCCATATGATGCTGAGAGAACTATAGGTATATATAGGTATATATATATATATGTATGTATCAGCACCCATGGAGATAAAAATCATACCATTTTATTCCAAGTTTATACGCCTTGTGTGCCTCCCTTTCTTTTTATTTTTTTTTTTGTTTTTCGTTGTTGTTGTTGTTGTTGTTGTTTTGTTTTGTTTGTTTGTTCTACATGGCGTATTGTCTTGTCCACTCCATCGCTGTTTTGTTAAATGCGTTGCGGTCCGACTTGTACTGTCGGGCAATATCGGGGACAAGTGGATCATCTGGGTTCGGGTCTGTTAGTAATGAACAAACGGAGAGTAACACCTTTGAAATGGTGAGGGCAGGCGACCATTGATCCTTCAAGATATCAAGACATATACCGCCGTTGTTGTTGATGTTCGGGTGGTAAATCCGCGTTGTAAACTGCAGTTTAGGTGGCTTGAAAGGGTAATCGGAAGGGAAGTGAATGTTAAGAAAGAAAAGCCCACCGGCATATGGTGAATCCTCCGGCCCTATAATAGTCGCCTTCCAGTTAAACAAATCACTTTCGCTGATGGGGCCACCGCTGGTGTTCGCCGGTGGATCGCGCTCAAGATCCTTCAATTCTTTTTGAATGCGACGAAGCGCCATAATAATAATAATAATAAATAAATAAATAAATAATAGATGTATATATATATAAATATAAAAATATATATATTCTTTTTTTTATGTAGAATGCTGCTTGTTTTTCCTTTCCTTCAATTCTTTTTTTTTTTTTATGGATGGTGTAATAAATACGGATGCTTGTGAAACGAATCAATGATTCGCGTTGCTTGTGTACATTATAAATATAAATATAAATATATAAAATGAATGAATGAATGAAAAGCAAGAAAAAGAAAAAGAAAAAAAAAAAATAGAATTGACCAATATACCTCAACAATCACTTCCCGCAGTATTCAGGCCTTTCCACCACTTTATTTATTTTTGTTTGTTTGTTGTTATTTCTCCCTTCCTTCTTTTTTTTATTTTTTTATTTTTTTTTTTTTTTTATTGTTATTATTTCAGTTCCCATAGCGGTATAATAATGAATAAAGATATATATTATATACATGTATGTATTTATATGTACCCAAATAAAAAAATCAAGCCAACAATGAAAAAATAAAATAAAATAATAATAAAGGAAATATATATATATATATATATGTATGACAATGATGATAGTAATAATAATAATAAGAAACCGTCAAAAAAAAAAAAAAAAGGAAAATTTGGTACAGATAATATTTGTATCGCTACATGTATATTCTTGGAACACGAATAGAGAGCCCACAGGTAAGTTGGTGCGGAATTGCCCCCACAGATACTGCCTTTTCCTCAATGTCATCTCCCCAGACATGGATGCGTGATTCCTTCTTCACTGCAGCCATGATGTTACCAATATTTTTACCAACCTCCTCTGGGTAAACCACGACTGCCGCCATGTCCATATTAATACGACCGTGCACAGTCCCAATAATGGGTTCAGCAGCGTCTTCAGGCGTCACTTTGATAGGCATCCCCTTGTATGTGCATAAAAAGCCATCCGCGTAACCAATCGGCAGCATCACAATAACGCTATCCGCTTTTACAGGAGTCAAATCGTAACCCACACCTTCACCCTTTCTTAAAGGAAAGTGGTGCAATACTTTGGTGTAGAAGCAACTAGCAAACTTCCCATTCCATAAATTCTTGCTGGTGACACTGCGTGGGCCGTACAGCATAATTCCCGGGCGTATGTACGTCTCCTCCAGTCCAATCCGTTGTTCCACAGCACCCGAGTTACTTACCGACGTGGCCCGAACCTCCACACCACTATCGTGCAGAAACTTCTTTGCATTTTTAAATGCCTCGTAGTGGTTGAGTGTCTCTGCAAGACGCTCCACCGAACCCGCAATGCCAAAATGCTGAAGAAGGAGATCAACCCCGCCCCGTTGCTTCAAAATTGGTACGGCTTCCTCCAACTCGTCAAAGCGTAGACCCAAGCGATTCATGCCGGTTTCAAGTTTTAAGCATAACTTGGTGTTGTTGAACGCATTGGAGGCGCAAAACGCCTTGAGTTGTGGAAGTGTTCCCAAAATTGGCGTGAGTCGCACCGCCCACCGCCCACACGGTTGGTAGTAACTCTGACAACCCTCATTCAACACCTCGGTATCGGAGAAGACAAAGATCTCATTCTGTGCCTTCTCCGCTATGGAAGGTTGACTTTCAATGAGTTCAAGCGCCTCGCCAAGTGAGGCCACACCAAATGTATGTACCCCACACACATTGTGTAGATATTCAGAAACTTTCCCCATGCCGTGTCCGTACGCATTGCCCTTCACCATAGGAATAAGTTCCGCCTTTCCAGCGATACGGCGAATACATTCGACATTATAGGCAATATTACGCAAACAAACCTCGACGTACGTTGAATGTCGCATTGAAGATTGTAAAGGGGGGAAAAAAAAAGGCAATAATAAATAGAAAGGTGGCTCAAAAAAATAATAACAATAAATAAACTTATTGCGTCAGGGAGTTTATACACATCCACACACAAAGAGAGAGGAACGCACCTTCCTGAAAATGCAACCCAGAAACCCCTTTATTAATAATATGCTTGGTGTTTATTCTTCAATTGGTGTGTGTGTGTGAAGAAAAAAAGAGAAAAAAAGGACATGTTGAATCTTGAAAGTTAATCCCTTTTTTTTTATTATTTATTTGCATTAAAAAAAGAGAATTAATAAATTTCGCATAAATCCACCTCCTGGACATTTTAAAATTTTGCAACTACACACTTTCGTTCACTGAAATGCAAAACGGAAGCCAAAGGCCTCAACTAAAGAAACTCACAGGAAGAATAAATATACAAGGTACACGTGCAAAACGACCATGTACATGACAAGCAACCGCCTCCCAAAAGTTGTGGAAAACACATACAGAGAAAATGCACCAGCGCCGTAGTCCAGCACGTTTAATACCGTGCGACACGAAATAACACCGGCCACAGGGTCCACAAGCCACGGAATCCCCATTTTTGGCTGAAGCCCATCATCCTTCTCCATGCTTCCCAGCATTGGAAAGCCATAAATAGACGCACAGTCATTCCCAGGATGGGCATTACCACCCGCATAGCCTGCCATGCGCTGACGGAGCGCAAGGTTTTCACTAAAAAGATTTACCACCTCTGACTCCAAGCTTTGGAGCTGTGGCGAAACCACCTCATTTAGAGTCAAGAGTCGTTCACGTAATTTATCACGCTGAAATGTCACAATCAGAAAAGGGCCCTTCTTGGACTCTTTTGGAAGAGAAAGTTGTGAAGCTGACACCGCATTATTCTGTTCCCCATTCTCCTCGTCCAATGCGTTAACTCCACCTTGCCACATAGTGCTGGAAGCAAGAAGCCTTTCAAAACTGTAGCCATCCCTTTCCAGTAATTCCAATTCTTTTCGTTCACCCCCCTTTGTAAGTGACACTTCTGTTGAAGCCATTTCACCCCTCTGTGAAGACGCTTTATCGTTTAAGGTACTAAGAGAGCTGTTGGTGGGATAATTGCTTAGTACTCTCTCAAGTGACTGGACAGCCCTGACGAGTTGTTCCTTCTCAGCCTTCAGTTGATCCACATAGACGTTAATTGACGCGATTCGATGTTGAAGTTCTCCTGTACGCACCATTTTTAGTCGAGGGCTTTCTCCCTTTTGTCGCCGTTGATTATCATTTACTGTGCATAGTTCGTCATATTTGAGGCGGAGTTCAAACAACTCCTTCCGTAATGCCTCCTCCTGTTGTTTCATTTCCAGTTTCTCTTCTTCCCACATTGCCGCGTCATGCTCAGCGTCCTTCTGAGAGAATGGAATCTTTTTTCCCTCATTGGGATTAGAATTCGCATTGACGCCTTTACAATCAAAAAAAAAAAAAAAAAAAAACCGCAGCCACCCAACCGTCAATCAAACCCACCACGATATTCCAGCTTCATTTTGGTCGTAAAACACGCGGAATAAACGAACTCGCAGTGGGTGGTCGTGAGGTAAAAGTTATTGCAGGGGTTTTTCCAGATGCAGACGACTTTCTTTTGACGGCGTCACGCAGTTCCAGCTTTTTTCGCTCCCCAGACACCGTGAGACCTTCCTTCGCTACTTCCACAATCACTGGATTATCCTTGTACGTCGTATTATTTAAATCTATCAGTTTCTCCACAAACGCCTTCGCAGTCTCTTCGCTCTCCGTACACTCCAAGAGAAAATACGGTTTTCGTGATGTCTTCACAAAGACACATTCAACAGGAGCATCAGGACAAAGTACCATAGCGGATTCGGTTTCAGAACCATTGTCCCTTGCAATATACCATGGCTGTATACCTAGAGCTTCTCGGTGTTCAACCAAAAACCCGTTCATCAATTCGCCACGGCCATGAATTTGTGCGCAACGAATAAAGAGTGTAACTCTATTGGAGTTTTCCTTAAAATGCTCATCGCGCATTTTATTTCCATTTTCCTTACGTGCAACCTTCGTAGGGGGCTCGTTCAAAGAAGTTCCTTCTAACGTGGTAGATGAGTGATTCATTTCCTTCATTTCCTTTTGACTTTTTCTTTCTTCCGTTCCGGACGGTGACGATTTATATATTTGTATCTATGCAGCACCACTCCTTCCTTCCCTTCCTTTTTTTATGCTACTTTCAGTTTACTACCTTTCCTATAGACAAAAATAGGACACATGCAGAAAAAAACCTAGAAAGAAAGCCTTTCGGATACCAGGACTAGGCGCCTCGTCGTTGTTGGTTTATGGCAACGTCCAACTAGTGGAGGACTAAAGACTGTTGAATGATCAAACGCTCAACAATTCCTCCAGCTCCTTGTAACGCCTTCTCAACTCGGCAAATCTCCAACTAAGATCTATATCCAGGTACCGTTTATCTTTCAGCTCTTGTATTCGAGCCTCATCCTCGTTTAATTGAGACAACAGTGACCAATCCCGCAGAGGATGGAGACCTTTTACCCATTTGGCTGTGTCAAAAGCCCCAATCCCCTCCTTTTCGAGGTAATTATCATCCACGGTTACGCGTACACCCCCAATCTGTTTTGTATACAAAGTATTTAAAATCTGTGTAGAGCGATAAGGCATGAGATCTCCTAAAGGTGTAGTTACAGGACGAAACCCCCCATCTGAATTCAAAATGGAGCGTCGAAATACAATACTAAAGCGCTGCTCCTCCACGGGAAGAACCATGTGAAAGTAAACATATCGAGCAGGCCCGCTCATGATGTAGAGGCTCCCATCTGGCACTACCGCATCCAACTCTTCCCCATTCTGCACATGCACAAAGCGTAATAAGGCATTTGAACCAAGAGAAACTATCGCAAAGATATCATCGTAGACAAAAAGATTATCTATATGCGCGCGTATAAAGTCCCCGGGTTCATAAAGGTTTGCAGTTTGGTTATTTAGCCATCCATCAGGTACAATCCCATCCTGCTCTATACGGCTTATTAAAGACAAAAAGGAACGTGGTGGTAGAGGCGGAAGCTGGAAACGACCATCACTGAGCCTGATGGATGCAGATTTTTGGGTATAAACATCAACATAACCTTTTCTTAGTGTAATTTTCTCTACCAATTGGACGTAGTCAGGAAAGATGGTAAGTCCAAAATCCTCACCAAACGGCTGATATGGCTCACCCGCCGCCAAATAGCCAAGACTTCCGCCATTCAGAAGGTGTTTGGCTCCATTCCATAACCGCTTCATAAATTGTCTTTCCAAATATTCGAAACCAAGGCCCAACAGAAGAAAATAAGATAAAAAAAAAAAGGCGAGAGTGCACAAGCGTAATTTTTTCCCTCAAAAAATAACAGAAAGAAACTTATATATTGCATAAATAGGTTTATGTACAATATCAATTACATCAACCGTAACCATAAATTCCATGTGATGTTGAATTATATTCCTTGCATATTCACGCGTCCAAAGACGGTTCTTCGTCGCTTCATTACTGCTGTTTCACCCTCCACAGATTTATTGTAGTAAGCAATACAGATGTCCATTCCCAATCGACATTTTCGACTACGAACCTCTCTCTCCACAAAGTAGTCAGGCTTGTGTGGCAAAGGCACGGTACTATGTGGAATAATAAGCTCTACTACCGTATACTTGTGTCGGGGAAACAACTTCACACCTCCACATACGTCTTCAGGAATTAAGCAACCCAAAGTGTCGTCCAATAAAAGCCGTCCTCTACCAAACATGACCGCGGGATATACACAATGATGATCAAGAAGCATGTAACATCCATTGATTTCGACAGGGCAGTACTGATCCATAGCTAACTGCTTTTCCATAAAAATCAGATGACGTTTTAAGGCGCAATGCTCCAATACACTGTCTTTCGACTCCACTTCAATTATCTCTAATCCTTTAGCATTTGTACACAAAGAGCACCAAAGGATTCCGGACGCCTCTTCATACCGTATTCCCTGCCTCCTAAACTGATCAGCTAATACCTTCCCTGACGCCATAAAAAGCTTCAAGGTGAATAAAACAATCAAATAAACAAAATTAACGGAGCATAGTAAACAAATAAAAACATACACCAGTACCAAATTCATCTTCCCCTAGTCTCCCCCTCCAAAAAAAAGAAAAAATGAAGAAAAAGATTTACATATATTTCCACCTCCACCTACCCATTCTCATCGGCTCAACAAGAGAAAAAAATAATTAAGATAAATATTCTTCACAGCATCAAAGACGGCCTGACACGCGTAAGTGCCATTGTAAAATGGCGAAGCTCAAGAGGGGGCAAAATACCATTATCGCCCATTTCTTTCACGGGCATTAACGCTGCAGCCTTACATAATTCAGTCAAATCCGAACCTGTGTAATCCCTCGTGTTTTTAGCAACAAACTCAATTATCTCTTTCTTCCTAAGATTATTCTCTAAATCATTTTCCAAAAGAATGCCAAGAATCTTTCGACGTCCTGTTTCGTCTGGAGTTGGTACCTCTATTTGAAGAGGTAACCGGCGCCGTATCGCTTCATCGATATACTTAGGTCGGTTTGTTGCCCCAACAACGATAATTTTGGCGGTACTTTGAGTAATTCCATCCCAACGAGTCATAAATATTGTCTTGGCATGGTTGTGAGGAGCAGAATCAATAATGTTTCTGGATCCAAGAAGAGCGTCAATCTCGTCAATAAAAATAATGCAGGGCGAAATTTTTTCCGCAAGGGAAAAAACAGCAGAAGCATTTTTTTCAGTGTCACCAACCCACTTAGAAAAAAGAGACTCAGTTTTCACATTTATAAAACTGCAACCAAGTTCCTTCGCGAGGGCACGTGCCAGAAGTGTTTTTCCTGTTCCAGGAGGGCCATAAAGCAAAACGCCTTTGGGATGCGATCTTAGCGTTTTCCCAGAAAACAAATCTGGACGTGTAAATGGCCATTTCACATGCTCAATTAATAACGACTTAACTTCCTCCAGACCCCCAACGTCGGAAAACCCCTCGCAAATCTTGGTAGTATCTATAACACTTTCAGAAATCGTCTCTTCTGCACGATCCACGTACACAGTCTGGCCCCCCACAGTAATTTTCTTCTTACCATAGCCGTGGTGGTATGTAAGCCTACGAACCGCATAGACTAATACTGTTATGTATATCCAAAAAAAAAGCGGAGTTTCTTGAATCCTCTTCACCAAATCCCTCACAAAACTCTTCACAGAGCCTGTCATGGTCTTCATTCCCGAACCAAACATGATTCTATTCTTACTCCAAGTGTAAAATCTCCTGGGATATATAATGAAGAATGAGAGATTGAAAATACAATATATATATTTATCGGGAAAAAAGCGCAATATTACCAGAGGGAAGTGTAGATCCCCTCTTTTTTATTTACCTTAATTATTATCGGGAAGTCAAAAAAATTTTTGCCCCAGTGAAGCAGACAAAAATAAATAAATAAAAGAGAGAAGAATACAAATTAAACTAAAAATTAAAAATAAATTAAATTAAAAGTATTGGTAATAAGCCTCCGTGTTTCTAAGAACACGTTTCACCATTCTTTTTTCCCTCCTCTGAATAGGTCGGACTCAATCATATAAGAAAAAAGCAGCATTGTCTACTACAAACAAAAAGCATTCTCTCACACCACTCATGATCCATGAATGGAGCAACACTAGAGTGAGAATCTGATCGCAAGAGCCGCCTCCACTGAAATGCCCAACACCCTTGAACAATCTCCCAGCCACGTAAAACCCTATCATAAAAGGAAAATCAATTCCCAAGCGGTTAAAAAAAATATTCCACCAAAAAAAAAAAAAAAAGTCCCAGTATTCACACTTGCTTATGTATGCAAAGACAAAAAAGGCCCATAAGATCCATTCCACTTTTGCCACCACCAATGGCAAAAAAAAAAGTCGCGGACAGAAATAAGACGACAAATACTATCCTACTTCGCTTGATTAAGGGAGAAAAAAAAAAGATTTTTCGCCTAGTTATGCTTTGAAGGATCGACCTCAACTACTCCAGCCATATAGGGAGTAAATGAGACAAAAAACAAATACATAAACCAAAGAAAGCCAAAACATTGTGTACAAAGACATCTTTTCTGGAGAGATCTACAGCAAAAAAAAAAAAAGGAGAGAAGAGCGTATGCAATAAAATTAATCCAAATAACGCGATCCATAGCAGCAAAAAACGAAGCAATATAACTCTGGTAAGTAGGAAGAACAGCAAATGGAAAATCAAGCCCCATGTAAAAAACAAAAAAACAAGGAAAATGTGAAAAACAAATCAAAGCAAAACTAATGCTTCAATATAGCCTTCAGCTC